ATGCATTTATATGAAAATTATGATTTAAATTGCCATGCATGCAAATGTTGAGATATTTGAATTGAGAATTGATGCATATATATGTGAATTGACGCGGTGGACGCACAGGTGAGTTTTATTATTATTCAGATGAGTTATTTTATATGAATTACATTGAAAGCTCATAACCTGCACTTAGGTGTTAGTGCTTATATTGTTATTCACCACACCGCACGCTCACCTTGGATCCAAGTAGGTGGATGTCGTACAGACCATGTAAGGGTTCCGACATGCTAGTCGTACAGATCACTAGATGTGATTCCGACTAGTGGGTGACCTTAGTTATGCGCGCTGATGATTGTTGAGAGAAGCACTAGAGCGTATTTATACACCTATCATCGTACAGACTACTATACATAATTCCGAGTGATGTGCAGTGTAGTGCCGTACATGTCACAGTTGGTGACTCTGGCAGGGCCGTATAGGTCACTGTGGTGACTCCGGCTGAGTGGGATGTTGAGCTTTAGACTCAGCCGTACAGGACCATTGTAGGGTCTCCGGTTGATTTATTATTTCACCTGATTGATATTGATGCATTCTGATTATATTTTGGGCATGGCATATCATTTCTGAGATGTTATTATGATGGATTGTGATTTGAGCTCTTGATGATATATATATGTGTTATATACTATTTTTCTGGGAAAGTATACAGGTTTTACGGTGAGGGGTTAGAAATGTTTTTAACAAAATGTTTTGGAAAATCTTTAGTTTTACTGACCCACTCATTTTGTTTTGCGCCCCTCCAGGTTCTAATTAGCAGTTGGTGGCTCTCGAGGTCTTTTTCCGGCATTCTGACAGACACTTGACATGTAGGACTCACCTGAGGGTGATGTACTTTTATTTTTGTCCTACTTGACTGCACTTAAACCTATGCTCTGAATTTATGTGTTTATCTTAACTCGTCCTGTCATTCTAGTAGGTTGTTCTTCTAGAGTTGGTTTGAATTCCTTCTTGTGTATGCTGTTGTTTCGCTTCCGTGTCGCACTTATGGTTACGTCACGCTCACGTGACGGCCAGCACACCTGGATCCTCTGGTTCGGGGTGTGTCAGTTTGGTATCAAAGCCTAGGTTGCAGTCCTGTATAATTGTTAATGCTTTAATAATCTTTTGATGTTTTCTATCAGAATTATGCCGCCTCGTAAAGAGCGTAGGGAGTCCCGCCGTACTCCTGATCCTAATTTTCCTGATATCGTTCAGTTAAGGGAAGCAATGGCTCAGGCTTTTCAAAATGTGATTCGTCTTCCTCCCCCACCTCAGAGGACACCCCTGGAGACCATGTATAATTTGAAATTGGATCGCTTTATGGGTGATGAAGGTTACGAGGGGGCAGAGAAATGGCTAGATCATATTGAAAAGACGTTTCAGGTGATGCAAAGTCAGGGGAATTTTCTGACTGATAGGTGGGTTGAGACCACTACCTGGTTTTTGGGTCGAAAGCCGGCAGGTTGGTGGAGGAATCAGACGCAGTTTATGTCCCCAGCTATGGCATCTGATTGGGAAGTATTTAAAGATAATTTCAAGAAAAGATTTGTCCCCCCAGAGTATATCGATCGCAAGAAACAGGAATTCACTCGATTGAAACAGAAGAATATGACAGCTCATGAGTACTACAGAAAGTTTACTAATTTGTCTCGTTATGACCCTGATACAGCTGGTAATCAGGGAGAGATGCTTCGACGTTTCAAGTTGGGATCTAAGAAAAAGTGGCAGACTTTTGCCAATGCACTTCCCTGCGCCGATTACCATGAGTTTTTCGAGATTTTGGTTAGGATGGAGGACTCCGATAATCTGCCCAGTGAGAGTGAGGATGACAAGGACAAGAATGACGGTCAGAAGAAGGATGATAAAGGTAAGGGTATCTCTATTCCGGGACCTCGCAAGACGTAGAATTTTAAGAAGAGTGGGGCGAGTTCGAGTTCTTCTAATGGTGGATATAGTATTACTGGCCCGAGAAGAGGTGATGGTAGATTTTCTGGTGGGCCTAGATTTCAGAGGCAGAAGGATTCTGGTGGTGCTGGTGGTTCTAGCGCTCCATGGTGCCGCCGTTGTAATTTCTGTCATCATGGTGAGTGTAGGAGAGGTAGTGGTGCTTGTTTTACTTGTGGGCAAATGGGACATCGGGCTTCTCAGTGTCCCCAGGGTCAGCAGAGACCGCAGTAGACCATTATACCACCTCCAGCGCCGATTCAGCAAAGCTTTGGATCAGGCGGTTATGGAGTCGAGTCGTGGTGGTGCCTACCACTACCAGGGGGATGCTGCTCTGTATGCTCCCGGACCTTATCAGTATCCCCAGGAGCCTTATTCTCAGACAGGGTATTCTCAGGACTTTGGGGGTTATTCTTCTTATTCATCTACGCCAGCTGGTGGATCTCAGTGGCATCAGGGAGGTCAGCCCCGTCAGGGGGGAAGTTGCTACTGGTGGTGCAGGATCATCAGGCAACCTAGTCAGTTAGGCCAGGGACGTGCTCCCCAGGGGTGAGGTAATCAAGGCAGTAGAGGTCGTGGTGGACGACAACAAGCTCAGGGGCGCGTTAATCACATCTCATTGTAGGAGGCTCAGAACCATCCGGACTTGATCATGGGTACGTTAAATGTTCTTGGCCATTTTGCTAAGGTTTTGATTGATTGTGGTGCTACGCACTCTGTGATTTCTCATACGTTTGCTCAAATGACTCAACCTCACCCTTCACCTCTAGGATTTGATTTAGAGTTTGCCATGCTTGGAGGAGATAAATGTTATGTTGATAGTGTGTATCTTGGGTGTCCAGTGATGGTAGAGGGCATAGTTATGCCAGCTGATCTTATTCCGTTAGATATTGTGGATTTTCATGTGATTCTAGGAGCTAATTGGTTGCATTATAATCGTGCCCATATTGATTGTTATGGTAAATCAGTTACTTTTTATCGCCCTGGACTACCCGAGGTTACTTTTGTGGAGGAAAGAGGTAGGGTGAGATATGGTGTTATTTCTGCCATAAGAGCAAGGAATTTTTATCGAAGGGTTGTCAGGGATATTTGGCACATGTGGTATTAAATGATGTTGTTCCTACCAGTATAGAGGAAGTTGGTGTGGTCAGGCATTATCCTGATGTATTTCCTGATGATTTGCCGGGGCTGCCGCCAGACAGAGAGGTGGAATTCTCTATTGATTTGCTTCCAGGTACTGACCCTATATCTCTAACTCCTTATAGAATGGCTTTTGCTGAGTTGAGAGAATTAAAAATTCAGTTGCAAGAATTACTTGATAAGGGTTTCATTCAGCCTAGTTCGTCACCTTGGGGTGCTCCAGTATTATTTGTGAGGAAGAAAGATGGAACTTTGAGATTATGCATTGACTATAGGCAATTGAACCAGGTAACGATTAAAAACCGTTATCCATTGCCTCGCATCGATGATTTGTTTGATCAGCTGAAAGGTGCGTGTGTCTTCTCTAAAATTGATTTGAGATCCGATTATTATCAGTTGAAAATTAAAGAGGAAGATGTACCTAAGACAGCTTTCCGAACCCGTTACGGACATTATGAATTTCGGGTTATGCCATTTGAGTTGACTAATGCACCTGCAGCTTTCATGAGGTTGATGAATGAGGTATTCCAGCAATATCTTGATAAATTTGTTATTGTTTTTATTGATGATATTCTGGTATATTCTAAATCTAAAGCAGATCATATTCGACATCTGAACTTCGTATTAAAGAAATTGAGGGAGCATCAGTTGTATGCTAAGTTCAGTAAATGTCAATTTTGGTTGACTGAAGTGGCATTTTTGGGGCATGTTGTATCGGCTCAAGGAATCCAAGTTGATCCTCAAAAGATAGCGGCAGTGGAGAATTGGGAGCAACCTCGAACCGTCACTGAGGTATGAAGTTTTCTTGGTTTAGCAGGTTATTATCGACGGTTTGTTCAGGATTTATCTATGATTGCTTTGCTGTTAACGAAGTTGACCAGGAAGGATGTTAAATTCGAGTGGGATGAGAATTGTGAGCGGAGTTTCCAGCAATTGAAATATTGCCTCACTCATGCCCCAGTATTGGTCCTTCCTGATGATAGCGGTAATTTTGAGATTTATAGTGATGCTTCGTTGAATGGTTTGGGATGTGTTTTGATGCAGCATAATAGAGTGATTGCCTATGCTTCTCGGCAGCTGAAAAATCATGAAAGGAATTATCCTACACGATCTTGAATTGGCAGTTATTGTCTTCGCTTTGAAGATTTGGAGGCATTATTTATATGGTGAGAAGTGTAAGATCTTCACTGATCACAAGAGTCTTCAATATTTGTTTACTCAGCATGATCTTAATCTTCATCAACGAAGGTGGATGGAATTGCTAAGTGATTACGATTGTACTATTGAGTATCATCCGGGTCGTGCTAATGTGGTAGCTGATGCACTGAGTAGGAAACCTCAAGGCAGACTCAATGCCTTATATGCTAGCCGTGTTCCTCTTCTTGCTGAGCTAAGGGCAACTGGAGTAAGGTTGGAGTTGGAAGATCGAAGTGGAGCCTTTCTTGCTAGTTTTCAAGTCAGGCCAGTTTTGATTGATCGCATACTCGAAGCTCAGATGGTGGATGAGGAAATTCAGGAAATGGTTCAATTAAGAAGTGAAGGGAAAAAGAAAGACCTCAGAATTCGGGAATCAGATGGTATGCTTATGCAGGAAAATAGAATGTATGTTCCGAATGATGAAGAATTAAAGAAGGAAATTTTGGATGAAGCGCATTGTTCAGCTTATGCGATGCACCCGGGAGGAACTAAAATGTATCATACCATTCGACCATTTTATTATTGGCCGGGTATGAAAAGAGAAATTGCTGAGTATGTGAGTAGATGTATTATCTGCCAGCAAGTTAAAGCATAAAGAAATAAGCCATTCGGGCGAATGCAGCCACTTCTCGTTCCCCAGTGGAAATGGGAAAATATAACCATGGATTTCGTGTATAAACTTCCTTGTACACGAAATGGATTCGATGGTAATTGGGTGATTGTGGATCGACTTACCAAGTCAGCGCATTTCATTCCAGTGAGGGAAAAGTACCCTCTGAATAAATTGGCTAAACTGTTCATTACGAAGATTGTGAAGTATCATGGAGTTCCAGTGAACATTATTTCTGATCAAGACCCAAGATTTACTTCTAAATTCTGGGTGGCTTTTCAGGAAGCTCTTGGTACGCAATTGCTTTATAGCACAGCTTATCATCCTCAAACTGATGGGCAATCAGAGAGGACTATTCAGACGTTTGAGGATATGTTGAGATCTTCAGTATTACAATTTGGTGATTCCTGGCATGATCGTCTGGACTTGATGGAGTTTGCTTACAACAACAATTTTCACTCAAGCATTGGTATGTCACCATTCGAGGCACTTTATGGTAGGGCGTGTCGTACGCCATTATGATGGTCTGAGGTTGGTGAAAGGGTGTTAGAAGGCCCCGAGATTGTGGATGAAACAACTCAAAATGTTCAGGTGATTAAGTCTAACCTGAAAGCAGCCCAGGATCGACAGAAGAGTTTAGCTGATCGACATGCCACTGATCGAGTGTATAATGTGGGTGATTGGGTGTTTTTGAAATTGTCACCTTTGAGAGGCGTGGTACGATTTGGAAAAAGAGGGAAGCTAAGTCCGAGATATATTGGACCTTATGTGATCACTGAAAGAGTTGGTGAAGTTGCCTACCAGTTGGAGTTGCCCCCGGAGTTATCTAAGGTCCATGATGTGTTCCACGTCTCTATGCTTCGACATTATATTTCTGATTCTTCTCATGTGATCCCTCCTCAACCGTTAGAGATTAATCCGGATTTGACATATGATGAGGAACCAGTCACTATATTGGATTGGAAATATAAGGTTCTAAGGAACAAGACGGTGAGTTTGGTGAAAGTGTTGTGGAGGAACCATTCCGTAGAAGAAGCTACCTGGGAGACAGAAGATCGTATGAGAGAAATGTACCCAAGATTATTCTATGGGTATTAAGTGGTTTAATTGGTTATGGGAATTTCGGGGACGAAATTCTATAAGGAGGAGAGATTGTCACAGCCCGTCCCGAGATTTTCTATCGGGGACGTGAATTGACGGATTTACACTTGACGTTACTAAGGTATGTGTGTGTAACGTTATTTGGTTTAAATTATTATAAGTTTTGGGGATAGAGAAAATTGGTTTACATTTTGTTTGTATGGTTAGGATGAAAATGGATGGTGTGGATTAGATTGGACCACACACAGGACTTCTCTCCCTCTCTCCTTCCCCGTGTCTTCTCTGTCTCTCTCCCTCACGACCCTCTATCACTCTCTCTCACCCAAAACGTACGGCCTCACCCAAAATCACCCAAAAACGCAGTGGATCAAAACAACCAAGGTAAGAATCTTCATCCTTAAGATGTTTTAAGTCGATTGGTACTAGTTTTAAGACGTGAAACCCTCGGAATCACGTGAAACCCGAACCTCCATTTTTGGTCATTGTTCATGCAAACGTAAAATGTTGATTTTCAGGGAATTCTAAGCTTGTAGTGAGCTTTGTGAGGTCCCAAGGAAGCTCGGAGTGCTTCGTTTGAAGGTTTTGGACGTCGGGATCACGTGGTTCAACTTTGGCCGATTTTCTTGGGATTTTTTCGGTGAGATTTCTTGATTTTTAGAGCCTTAAACTAGTCTAATCGTGATTCTCGTGTTTGGGGCTTCAATTTGGGGTATAAAATACGAAGAAAAATTGGTTGAGAACGAAGGAAGGTTTTTGGAAAATCGGCCGCCGGAAAAACCAAACCGTCCGCGACTAGCTGAGGAGAAGAAGGTTCAAAGTGGACGTGGCGGACGTGCCGACGGAACGGCGTGGCCGGGGGGAATCGCGGTGGGGCCTTGTTTCCGGAAGAAAACTTTTCGTGATCTAAAAATTTCAATTCGACGTCCGTGGGGACGTCGGACCCGTGGTTTGAGAGGCGCGTGGGACCTCCAAAAATTTTTCTAAAAATTTCTCGACGTCCGTGACGTCGAGTAGGTCGATGTGGTATATTCATATACCAAAATTGAGCATCGTATGAGAAGTTATTTCGAATTATTGGTTATGTGTTTAAATTAACGTTTTTATAGTTGTTTCGCATATAGGTGACACCTATCCCGAGGACGAGCGCATCCAGGGACGTCACGGGGGTTACGACCCATCGACTTATCAGTGAGTGGGCAGTTTTGATTTCGTATTACCTATATACAACTGTTTTTCCCAGAAAATGCATTTATATCAAAATTATGATTTAAATTGCCATACATGCAAATGTTGAGATATTTGAATTGAGAATTGATGCATATATATGTGAATTGACGCGGTGGACGCACAGGTGAGTTTTATTATTATTCAGATGAGTTATTTTATATGAATTACATTGAAAGCTCATAACCTGCACTTAGGTGTTAGTGCTTATATTGTTATTCACCACACCGCACGCTCGCCTTGCATCCAAGTAGGTGGATGTCGTACAGACCATGTGAGGGTTCCGACATGCTAGTCGTACAGATCACTAGATGTGATTCCGACTAGTGGGTGACCTTAGTTATGCACGCTGATGATTGTTGAGAGAAGCACTAGAGCGTATTTATACACCTATCATCGTACAGAATACTATACGTAGTTCCGAGTGATGTGCAGTGTAGTGCCGTACATGTCACAGTTGGTGACTCCGGCAGGGCCGTATAGGTCACTGTGGTGACTCCGGCTAAGTGGGATGTTGAGCTTTAAAATCATCCGTACAGGACCATTGTAGGCTCTCCAGTTGATTTATTATTCACCTGATTGATATTGATGCATTCTGATTATATTTTGGGCATGGCATATCATTTCTGAGATGTTATTATGATGGATTGTGATTTGAGCTCTTGATGATATATATATGTGTTATATACTATTTTTCTGGGAAAGTATACAGGTTTTACGGTAAGGGGTTAGAAATGTTTTTAACAAAATGTTTTGGAAAATCTTTAGTTTTACTGACCCACTCATTTTGTTTTGCGCCCCTCCAGGTTCTAGTTAGCAGTTGGTGGCTCTCGAGGTCTTTTTCCAGCATTCTGACAGACACTTGACATGTAAGACTCACCTGAGGGTGATGTACTTTTATTTTTGTCCTACTTGACTGCACTTAACCTATGCTCTGAATTTATGTGTTTATCTTAACTCGTCCTGTCATTCTAGTAGGTTGTTCTGCTAGAGTTGGTTTGAATTCCTTCTTACGTATGCTGTTGTTTCGCTTCCGTGTCGCACTTATGGTTACGTCACGCTCACGTGACAGCCAGTACGCCTGGATCCTCTGGATCGGGGTGTGTCAGTTGTGGTTCTTGAATTAGTTATGTAATGTGCAGATGAGATTATAGAGCTCCATGCTTTGAGATGCATAGGTATAGTCGAATGTGAGTTCAAGTTTTTGATTAATTTAGACGCAGTTATCACTTCCATATTTTGAAGGACTGGTTGTCATTTCAAATACTCAAGTGGGAGAATGTTGGAGTATGAGTATGAGTTTGACATATTGAACCGGTTATAGTGTATGAATTCAATAGGGAAAAGTCTTATTTGATAAGCTTGAAGTAATCCTATTCTTTTTGGGATTACTGGTATTGAGAATTGTCGCAGGATTCGAACTTAACCTTGTATTTGGTTTGGAGTCCTCGCTTGTGTTGATATCTTTTGGGAGATTGTTTCCCATACTGATTCTAATAGGAGAATAAGTTGGGAAGACATTCGATACGTGTATATGTATGAACATTGGCCACTGCTCTTGCAATCTATCTGCTTGTTTCGTACCAAAGACCTATTATTTGGAGAGCAATTGTGTTTTGCTAAAGAGGAGAAGGCTAAGAGTTCCAAGGCTGCAATGGCTTCTTCTTCTGCATCGAGTTCTGCAGGTATGTTTCCTCTCTGTTCTTGTACTGTAATATTGTTCTTGTGTTTCATGATTCAATAGCATATCTGTGATCTATGGACTGTGTTGAATATATTTCTTACATTGCCATTGTATGCTATGGTGGTTTTGTCGAATTGGGTTTCTTGGTTGCCAATCTACCTACATCCAAGGAGTGTGGTTTGTAATCTACCTCCATTCAAGGTCTTTCGCCAAGTGAGTCTCATATCTTCTTGTCAGGTATGTTCTGTCATTGGTTCCCGGTGATTTGCGGTTGTGTGCTTGACAAAGAGGATTGTTAGTTCAGTTTCAGTGGGTTTATGGAGGTGTTGGTTTTCTTGACACTGTTAAAGGTAGCAGGAAGAATTGAATTGTGGTTCCAGCAATGGGAGGAATAAATTTGTGTTATATACCTATTTTTGAGGTACAAGGCATGTGTAGTATACCTACGTACGGTCTTTATATATAATTATGGATTGCAAATGAATTTGCTATTTTGATAATTTTCATGTTCATGAGCAAGTTGTGGGTTTATGATAAAGAAGGCTGACAAAATTGGATATTCCTAATAATTGGACTATTCCTAGTAAGGGCTTACAAAATTGGATATGATTTAATTAGTAGGGCATGCTGAACAAAGCTCAGTGCAGTAAGGGCAATGGACAATTAAATCCTTTTGATGCTGGTGAGGATCCGATTAATTAGCATCGATTCGCCACCATCATTTTCAAGCCAATATTTAGCCTCTTTTGTCATATATATATATATATATATATATATATAGGTAGCAAGTAGCAGTGGAGGATTGGAATGAAAGTCCCATAGTTTTCGTCGCATGCATAGGTTCCAGCATTCTGTTTTTTGGTTTACTTTCCCTATAAGTAACAAGAAGAGTGAGTCGCGTTCTTGTATTTTTCTCTTTTTCTCTCCTTTCGATTTCTGGATTAAGGGAAAATCAGATTTTCGTTTATAGTTTTTCTAACGGTGTCATATGATATTTCCATAAATAAATAAACTGGCTTCTATTCTTCCTGATTAGTTTATAGACCTCTCTTGCAATTATTCGGAACAACATTACAATATAAAACTGCAATTAACCGTTCATGAAGAAACCATTTCGAAAACGACCCTCTTAGGTTCTTACATATATATGCCGACTTAATAGAAAAATCCGTTCCTAATGCCGCCAAACAATGCCCGAGAAATTAAACTAGTGGCAATAATTAATCACTTGAAAATGGTTATTTTATTTTTCTAGAAGCAGAAGTCATGTATATGGAAGCTGCATTGAACTTCAATGTGAAAAAAATAAGGTAATGTTTGGTGACCTGACAGGAGATTAGCCAATCAAAGCAAGCCATTAGTGCTGCTGATTAAGGAAAATACAAACGAACATTAAAAATTAGGAATCAGGGATGCTCAGCAAAAGCATGGTGTTGGCATGATTTAGGGTTTCATCAGATAAGGGTTGGTAAACAACTCACATCATGGCTTAGGCAACTTGATTAAGGTGGGGCCCATCTTTGCATATAGGACAAAGAAGTTTAGAGAAGGGTGGTCAACATTTTAAACCGCATATCATAATCAGATTGATGCTTTCAGTTTCATGCATGATGATATATTTTAACAATATAAAGTTGCGAGTCTGATTATTTTGGGGAAAAAGAAGAAACTAAAGTAGAGATGGTGGAGCCTTTCTTGTGTGCTCCTACTTGGCTACCACCAACAAGAAAAGAAAGAAAAAGAAATGGTAAATTATAACTTGATACTTTTTAACTTAAGGCAAATTGTATAGTGCTTCGGAATTTTAAGATATTCTAAATTTGTTAGTTAGTTGTTATATTTTTATATTTATACTCTTAAGTAAAAATTTAACAGTTAAAACACTCGGAGTATTTCATACTCGTTAAAAAGAAAATCACTACCCTTATTTTGAAAAAAAAAAACAAAAACTGATATCAACTTTTGTCCAACCAACAAAAATTCAAAAGGACAATATTAAAAGTGTTAATTGTTTTGTAGATATATTTTCGTCAAGGCTAAAAACGGTGGAAATTCTCTACCACAATTTTATTCCTGTTTTAAGAAGAAAAATATATAGCACCACAATATAAACAAAGAGTGTCATTTAAGAAGATTGTCAAATTAAATTATATTTCGCGATATTAAAGAAAATGATGAAAATTTCTAAGTATTTTGCTCCAACAAGATTAAATACTTAAGTGAAATAAACTTAGCAAAATATGTCTTAAGGCATCTAAGACCTTGTAGG